CCCATCTTTCTGGTAAATACTCCTTTAAAAATTGTTTTTTGATTATAATTTTATTATTAGTAGACTAGAACACGTGGATATGTTGTCATTCTTACACTATAATACTGAACTTTGATTTCAGTGATTTGGACTATGAGATGGACACATGCTTCTTGCACTTTGTTGCACTTTACTTTTTTACTTTTGGATTTCATTTGGTTTAATGAAATATAGTTTAATAAAATATTCTTAAGTAAAATTGTTGATTTTTTTTGTGTGGGAAATTAATTGTTTAGATTAATCGATAAATTAGTCGATAGATTAATAGAAATAACAATAGTCATTAGTGGCAGCCCTAAAACGAATCACGATACATTTGGGGGTGGTAGTTTATATGAATGTATCTCTGAGGGGAACTTACTGTCTTTAGAAAAGATTAGATGTTTTTTTCTTTTCATCTTGACTTTGTATAATGCATATTAAAGTAGTTTTTATAAGCGCAGCACTGCTTTGTTTACTGCGGTAACCAGGGAACCGCTGTATAGCTGCTGTTCCATAAGTGCCGCCTGCTGTCAGAGAGTGAATTTACCATATATTCCACTATATTCACAGAGCGTTCTTTAGAACTTCCGCATAAATATAAGCCAGCTTGTAAACTTCCGGTGAAGCTCATTTGATGTTGTGGTATACAGTATCTCACAGAAGTGAGTACACCCCTCACATTTTTGTAAATATTGTATTATATCTTTTCATGTGACAACACTGAAGAAATGACACTTTGCTACAATGTAAAGTAGTGAGTGTACCACTTGTATAACAGTGTAAATTTGCTGTCCCCTCAAAATAACTCAACACGCAGCCATTAATGTCTAAACCGCTGGCCTCTTGAGACCCTCACAGAAAACTCTCCTGCCTCGTTCTTGTCAGAAACTGAGAAACAATAATGATAGCGACATTAACTTACAGTTTCATGTTATTTAGCAACGTACAATTTTATATGCCAAGCCTGGTAATCCCAGGAGAGAACCTAGACATGTAATTATACATTTAAATGCAGACAACTAAACACTATCATAATGGTTTAGGCTAACGTTAGCTAGCTAGCGATGCTAATCTCTTAAACGACATCATAATGGTATTCTTGATAATCAATAACTTGCCTTCATAGCCATTAATACATTTTTTAACCACTTATAATATTTTAAAGCATTTGTTATTTCTCAACTCTGCAGTTTTGCAGTAAAAATCACATTAAAGATTAATTTTTCATTCATGCAGATGACATGAAAAAATGTGCCAAAAACACAAAAAACAGGTTGTTGTTCTCCTGGCGGAAAACAAAGCCTTTTAAGTTGAAAATGACATGAAATTATCATTAAAACCAGTAGATGGTAGCAGAGGATCACTCTGCTATCACATATATATATATTCAGCCAACACAGACTTGTTACTGTTGTAGTTTTGAATTTAGTCTGAATCAATTAATGCACAGCTCTATTTTTTGACATCAGACGTTTCGTTCCGTTATCACTGTCAATCGTAGCAATGAGTCGCAGAACAATTTTACCGGATTTGCTCACATCATTTTTTACACTCGCGTTTGACATTCCTTAAACAGTATACATGGACGTTTGGTCTTCTTAGACAAACAAAAAAATTCTTCAAATTGTGAATGGATTATGTAGAAAAACTGCAAAAGGTGCTCCACAGCTAATTTTGACAGTTGACCCGAAATGACTGAGCTGGCTTATCTAAAACCAGGAAGTACGGTGCATATGGTCAATTTGCATCTCATTCACAGCTTCTGCTGTATTTGTTTCGTGCAGATGTTTTATGTAGTATAGTTTCCCAAAACTAAAGTCAGAGCATTCTGTTTTTGTTTTAAAATTTCACATTATACAATATAATTTAGATGTAAAAACTGCTCATGCTGCATGTATACAGCATCTTTGTTTGGATTGTGATATCAAATGCAGTGGTTGCCTCTAATTTTGAATGGAAAGAGCACAGGCAAAGCCTTTGTTTATATGATGAGTTTTTTTTGTCTTATTTATTTGATTAGATTTGTGGTTTGTTTTAAAATGTAAATTTAGTTTTGTTATTTGATATTTCAATTTCACAAAGAAATGTGCAGCATTTTGTCCAAGCAATAATAAAAGGACACCTTTTCATTAATAATTTGTCTTAAATCTAATTTTGTAAAAAAAAAATTGTGAGAAAATCATATTGTGAAATCAGTATCGTAAATTGGGACTATACTATGGGTTGTGTTTGTACTGGGAGGTGACGTCATTCACAGACGATTGTGCCGAATGCTTTGAACAATGGAGCTAATCGTCAATATTCACCATTAACCGAATGCTTTTCATGTTTTATATTATATTATATTCCTCTCTTTTAATCCGTAATGGAGCACACACATTTTTTTAATAATCAAACAGACAGTGCAAATCTATACTTATTTACCTATTTGCCACCTTACCTTATATTTTATTCAACCATTTTAATCTGTTATGGAGCACATGTCCCGTGGCACCTAAGCCTAAAATTAGGACTGTGCAATTAATTGCATGCAATTGTCATGCACATCTCATTAGTAAAGCACTGACAAGCTACGCAATATCGTGTTCATTATCGCAGGCGATTCTATCTGCGATAATGAACGCGATATTGTCTAATTGTCAGTGAACTACGGCTCTGTGTAGTAAATGCCGCTCCATCTGAAAGCAGGTGATGGAGATTTGCTACTAATCACGGAACCGGCTTTACTGACGAGATGCGCATGACAATTGCATGCGATTAATTGCACAGCCCTACGTAAAATATATGGTAATAAGTGTAGAATTGCACTGTCTGTTTACTCACTTGCATCAGTCGGAGTGTAAACAGTGAGAGATGTTGAGACAGGTGAAAAGTGTTTGGTTAATAGTGAATATTGTGCGTACCGTTGTGGCTCCCGCTGTTAGCAGGGGATAGTCGCTGCATTTGGGGTAAAAAAAGACAATTATTTATTGTGTAATGTGCCAAGAAGGTTACACTGTCTGTTCGTTCACACACATCTATCGGATTGGCAGCTGCCTTTAGACAGTATATTTTGGTATTATGAGATTCCATTTGAGTTTTGGCAGGTTACATGCGCGCGACAGAGAGAGTAAATAAAGCATACGTGGTAATTAATATTTCTGTTTAAATTCAACAGGCTCATAACTTTATATACATTAAATACATTTGCAAATCGGCTTTTCTTTTCCATTTGAAATTTGGCAGTCACCGTGTGTTCGCAAAAGCGAAAACGCAAACGGTAACGTGTGGATTGCATTTGGATTGTCACAATGAATGTGTCCACATATGGAAAACGCATTTGAAAATACAATTTGGAATTCCTTTTGAAAATTGTTCGGAATATCCTTCTATAGGGAACAGTATAAGCATTAAAACAAAATTTTAACATTTATAATTTGTATAATTTGTGTTAAATGTGTTATCCAATTCTTGCTTTTGGCAAATGTTGGTAAACTTTTTAATTTTAGAATTTTAGATTCCACTCAACAATAGAGTGACTAGGGCTGGGTTGACAGTATCAATTAATTGATTTTAATCAACCTTCTTTTTAATTAATCAAGATCGATCTTTTAGTCTATGCTGTTTTCTATTTATGCATAAACAAAACTTGACAAAACAAAACGGTATAAGAAACAAACAAAAAGTTGGTATAAGTTCAATTTAAATTGTTGTATTCAACTACTTTTGTGTTGATTACATCTAAAAATAAATAGCAATTTAATTTAAGATTTTGGACTTTAAACCTTTCATATTATAATAATGTATCAACTGACAGGGTTTTCTGTAGATCATTAGTTGTGTAGTTTTCTACACAGCATTAATTGAGAGATTGTTTTCATTAAGAAAATTGTGACGCACTGTACCTGATATATATCCAGATGAATTGATATCAAATCAAATTCATGAAATCTGTGTCAAAACCCAGCTCTAGTGTCTTGCAAAGAGAAGAATTAGGTCAGGCACCATGCCAAAGCATTGCCAGTCACATTTCAGTGTGTGTGATTCAATCTTGACTATTTATCATCTTCTCAAATCTGTGTGATTTAAAGTATACACATGTTGCCTCTGCTTTTGTGAGAATTGTCCTGTTGAAGGAAAGTGAAAATAACTGACTAACTGTCCTTTTTTATTTTTGTAGAAATCCAGCTCAACCACAGACTCCAAGTAACTGGATGGACATGAACAGTTTGACGAAAGCTCATGGTGCCTCCAGTAATAGAGATGGCCGTCTGAACACAGAATGTGAAATCAATAACCGCTCAGCGGCCAATCTCCGCAGTCTCAACGTCCCTTCAGTCATAGGTCAGACCTTGCAATCTTTCAAATCTATAAATATTCACCAGTGTGCAATTTCTGTCAACATAGTCAGTCTTCTTACAAAGTTATTAATCTAAAATAAAAAAGCATTCTGTGCTAACAAAACTATCAACTAGAGACCTGCACTGAAATTATATATATATATATATATATATATATATATATATATATATATATATATATATATATATAATTTCACCAAATCAGCTTGTCTTTGTAAAATAGCACAGCTTATTAAATCTAAGCTTCTTAATCAATTAATCATATTATTATTATTATAATTAAGCACTATTTAATTATTATTCGGTACGATAGAACTTTAGTGATTAGACTTGGTAACCATGTATGAATCGATATTTGTCATTTTAACTGAACTTAGGACTGGTGGTGATGCTTAACATATTGTTGTCCACTGGGTTTCCAGGGCTCACAAAATCGCTAGCCCGACGTCCCGGGGCTATTGTGTTTTCCAGTCGGGCTACCAAAATGTATCACCACTCTGCCCGACGGGCTATCTTAAATGCAGATCTCCCGCGGGTCCTTAAAAACTCCTAAAGTGAGTTGTATCAAACTTAAGGCCATAAAAAGTTTGAAATACGTTAAATGGTATAAGAAATGTCTTAATTATAATTTCAAAAGGTCTTACAGTTGGGGACGGAAAGACAAGATTATACGGCTGGATTAAACTTCAAAAGGCAATGATGTCATTGAATAAATATGAGCGCTGCATGTTTCAAGTCAAAATGCGGCGCGGATGTCTTTATTTGAATGTATCTGAAGGGAATCGACTGTCCTCAGAAACGTGTCGTTGGCGGACGGAAAGACAAGATTATACGGCTGGATTAAACTTCAAAAGGCAATGATGTCATTGAATAAATATGAGCGCTGCATGTTTCAAGTCAAAATGCGGCGCGGATGTCTTTATTTGAATGTATCTGAAGGGAATCGACTGTCCTCAGAAACGTGTCGTTGGCATATTAATTTCATTTGACCTATAATTCCTGATAAAGCAGCGTTTATGAGCGCAGAGCTGCTTTGTATACAGCCATTACTGGGGAAACCACAATATTTCAGCGCTCCTAAAGCGCCACCTCGTGGCAGAGAATTAATTTGCATTTCCAATAAGCCTTTCTTGCTGTTTATGGTCAGATCAATGCAAATACCAACTCATGTTTTTACGCAGCAAACACATAGTGTTGTAAATGAGAAATTAGTTAATGTACCTTCTAAAAATCTAAACAATTAAGACGGTAATATGTATACGTTTTAAACTGACATAATAATTTATATGCTTGATTTATCCCTTTTCATAAAAATGGTCTAAAGGCTGAAATGCTGTTGTATAAGATTTTTGTTTTTGTGAAAACCTGTATCTGAACTGTAAATCATGTAATTTTATGGCTCAATACTGTGTTAACACAGACATTGTCCAACCCCACTCATACTATGTTCATTTTACTTGTGCAGCTCTTAAAATGGGTCATAAATCGCCTTAAATTTATTTTTAAAAATTCTGCAGATACCCTGTAAATAGTGAAATAAAATTCCTTCCTTCATTTTTGTTGATATGTGTGTACTGAAAATATTTTTGATTGACATTTAAACTCCTATCTGATTTTCTATATTAAAAAGAAAAAAAAAAGTTTTTATTTTGTTTTTATTTTGGGGCTAGTTAAATCTGAAGAGTACCTGCCCGAAGGGCTACCAGGGATTTTGAAATTTTGTGAGCCCTGGTTTCTGTAAAAAAAAAAAAAAAAGATAAGTTATAGATATTAATAGTAATTGATAATAGTAATTATTATTAAAAAAAATACTACTACTACTATACTAACAATATACAATGCACAGGATTGATGAGCTGCTGGGTTCATGAATATTAATCACGTTGTCAGCGTTCGCTCGAACTGATTTGCTGAAATCAAAACAGGGATGGTAATAGATGAGTGCCAGCCAATGAGAATGCCGTTTGCACATCAGCTCCGCCCACTAATAACACGTTTGCAGCGCTGAGCAATGTAGCCAATCACAGACAAATCTGTTGATTTCTGGAACGCAATTGACAATCAAAGGTGTTTAAGTTAGAATCCACTCACCACTCAAAATGACTGCGTTCTTGTGCAGTGCTGAAATTTCCATGCTCATGAATTCTCTCATTGTAACACAAGAAGTGCAGACATTATGAAAGATCCATTGTGCATATATTCATTGTGTCATAACAGAGCTTTGTGAGATCGTAATGAACTGATCTGTCAGTTTTTTTTTACTGATTATAAAGGGAGTGCTCTTTGCTTGCATTCTGCCATGCCAAGCCCAAACCATGCACGCAGCAGCCTATGCTTGCATTTCTGTTAAAAATAACAGTGGTTTGTGAATGTTGATGCTTTAATAACAAATATTTTATCTGAAGCGTTTATGCTGTTGTGGCTAGGCGATACGGAGCTTACTATTTCATGTGAATTTCACATGTACTGAAAAAAATCTATATAGGCTACTTTTATGCAGGCGGGAGTGGGATGAGATAACATATTTCTGTGGGAAAGGGCGGGTGCGGGACAGAATCCTGCTGAAAAATCGGTCCCGCGCAGGTCTCTACTAGCAACCTATTAACTATTTATTTTTGCATTATCATATTAGAATGCCAATTCAACCAGGACAGACCTTACGATGGTGTTAAAGATGAGGATGATGATGAGGCACAGGAGGATGAAGATGGGGCAAGAGGAGGAGGAGGAGGAGGAGGCAGAGGCAGTGACGGTTCAGGGTCCAGTCGTAGAAGCAGTCTAGGTGGTGACACAGATTATGCTGAGAAAGTCCAACGTCTTCAAACAGCCAAACAGAAACTCAGACAACTCCAAGAACTGGTCGCCATGGTGCAGGTGAGAGTCTGGAGCCACATGGGTGATTTGAGGTTCTGGTCATTCATAATGCAGAGCTGTCAATCTCCAACCAGACTGCTGAGAACATCACATCTGTCAAGAAGCAGCTAAAAACACACCTTTTTCTGCAAGCACTTAACCACCCTATACACTTAAACCAATGCACTTACACAAACACAAAAAAAGAAGTCTTCTCTAGCTTGCTTCCTAATCAAGTTGTCTCTTATTAAACCTGGCAATATATATAATGAACATTCTTGGCCCTTTTGTAAGTTGTTTTGGACAAAAGCATCTGCTAATTGCATAAATGTATGTCAATGCAAATATGTTGTGAGTGTAGCTTGTATAAGCAAACTGCATTTTCTTTATTATGCTTTCTTTTGTCAGCCTGTTAAAGACATGTTCTCTGGATCTGTTAATGTTACTGTAGAGTGATGATACAGATGGTACTACAGCTAATGAGGATGAGGGTTTGAAGCAACAACCCAATAACACCCGAGTAACAGCTCCCAAAATCCAGAGAGACATAGTCCTTTCTGAGAAGTCCAGGTTTGTTTATGGAAATGAGATATCTGCTTGCATTTATAGTTCATAATCTGTTGTTTGTAAACTTGCTTTGTTTAATATCACACTGAAGCATGTTTTTACAAAGTGTCCTGTGTATGTATAATAATCTGTTTTTCAGAGAGAAATTGTATGAGGAGAAACTCAAGCAGCAGCAGCAAGAACTAAAGCAGCTCCATGAAGAGAGACAGAGACTGATGGAGATTCAGGGCAAGATTCAAGACTTACAATGGGCCTGTCCTGACCTTCAGGTACTTTACACACCTGCACTTTTTTACGCACAATTTACAGTTTGTTACTATCATAGACACAAACAACTGCTGAGATGGAGTCTTAATTTCTTTTATCACATTGTGTCCTGTCAGTCATCCGTGAGCAGTAGTGTCAGCGGTCAGATGAGGAAGATTCCTGCAGCAGCCTCTAGTCCTGATCATGTACCGTTACACTCCTCTTCCTCAACTAAAGCCAACACTAGTGGCCTCAAACCCACCACTGAGCCTCCTCCAGTTACTGTCACTGACAATGAGGTAAGTGTGTAATCAAAATACCAGTTTTGCTTCCTTTATATATCAGGTAGAGTTTTCAAGGGATAATTGACCCAAAAATGGAAATTCTGTCATCTTTTAGTCTCCCTCATGTCATTCCAAACCTATGAGACTTTTGTTTATCTTTGAAACACAAAGTAAAACATTTTTAATGAAACCAGAGAGATTTCTGTCCCTCAACTGAAAGTCCATTCCACCAAAACTTTTAAGCTTCGAAATGTTTATAAAGAAATTAAAATAATCAATTTGAATTGAGCACTTAAATAAAGGTCTTCTGAAGACACAATTGCTTTATATGATGAACAGATGAAATTTAGGCTTTTCCTTGCATAAAATCATTGATCAGCGCACATCAGATATAATCAATGACAGCTCAGTCTTACCTGCATGACATGCAAGAGCAAACCTCACTGGTTCTTGCGTGTCAATCAAGTACATTTGAGCTTCCATGTACTATATTTACATTTAGATTTCAGTATAGGGACAGAATCTGTTGGGTTTCTTTCTTTTGGGTTTCTTGGGTTAGTAAGTTATTGGGATCTGTTTGCAGACAGGTAAAGAAGCCCAAGTTTAAATGTTTTGTCTTTGTTTTATTTGTATTAGCTCTGGTCAGAGATGCGAAGGCATCAGATGTTGCGTGAGGAGTTGAGACAGAGGCGGAAACATTTGGAGAGTCTGATGGCAGAGCAGCAGAGGAGAAACACACTCAACGATTCTCCATTCAGGAGTGACACACATGAGACCCAGTCGTACAGCCGTGATGAAAGGTGACACATGGCTTTAACAACTCATGGCTTAGAGTTTAAAATTTTGTTTTATAAATGTGCTGGGAGGAATGAATTTGTAAGTTGCTAATTAGAGGTCGACCAATTGATCAGCCGGCCGATTTTTGGCATTTTTTAATGAATCGTGCTGCAAGTTAGGCCGATTTATAGGCAGGCGCACTGGCGGGCAGCTAAGCGTTGTTGCAGAACTCCCTCTGGCTGCATGAGATGGAGCAGCTCACACTCTGCAGGCTGCAGCCGTGGCTTGTTCACACACAGCCTCAGCTAATGGCTGGGCAAAACAGACTGTTTCGAAAGCAGGATTATGTTTTACCCTACTAGAATTGATCCCGGAAAGTTATCATATTCATAAGTGCAACAAGTCATTTGCATGTGAAAGTAGAAACACGTTCAATTCAGACGAAACTTCTGGGCTGATTATAACGTGCACGTTAACTTTCCTCATGAAATATGTCTGTGGGTCTGACAATAGCCTCCACGATGTCATATATCCGCTCGTGGCCAGCGCACTCTTAAGCAGTTATGAGCAGCAGGCAGTGCAGTATGTGTGAAATCTTTTATTTTTGTTATCACTATGGCCATTTGACTTATAGCAGTGTCCAGTGTTTCCTATACATCGAGTTATTTGTGGCAGCTCATCACAATATCAAAACTGACTGCCACAAATAGATTTCCCAAAAGGCTTATACTTTGTTGAATAAAATGAGCGCTTCATGTTTCAAAATTAAAATGCAGCGCGGGTGTTTTTATATGAATGTATCTTTGAAAAGAACCTACTGTCTTCAGAAAAGCTTGTCATTTTCATTTCGTCTTTACTGTAATGCCTGATAGCGTTTGTGAGCAGTGCTTAAGGGGAAACCGCTATATCTCTAACTCCCAAAGCGCCTCCTGCTGGCAGAGAATTAATTTGCAGTCTGTGGGAAACACTGGTGTCTGTCAACTGTTTTGAGAAGGTGCTCAAGTTTTGAGCTATGTATTATTACTCTAAATTGGGCTACTACTACCATTACTATCTTGTACCCTGCAATAATCATTTGCTCAAACTCACTTTTATGAGATGAATGGGAAGAAAAAAACAAAAAAAAAACAAAGGAAAATCGGCCAAACATATCGACCAAAAAATAATCGGCATCATATATTGGCCATCGGCTGCCCTGATTTCTAAATATCG